ATTTCTCGACCATTGTGTTGTAAAAAAAAAAAAAAAAAAAAAAAATTGAATTTCCTTAGTCACCACTTACAACACCCACGGTGCAAAAAGGAGTGGCCCATTCTATGGCGGGAACTCACGGCATAGTAAACCCTAAAATTTTCGAAAGTACGGGCTTTTACAGTATATATATATATATATATATATATATATATATATATATATATATATATATATATAGTTTTCTCATTGTGATTATTTCTTGTAATTGTTTGTATCTATAATAAGTTTACTATTGTACTCTTTTGAAGGAAAAAATAAAGAATATCTATCTATCTACATATACAGATTATTTCTTTCCCTTCGTTTTAATTCACTCTTGTAAGCAAATATCTTTTAAAAAAAATATTAATTCTTATTTAAGTAACGATAGAAATGATATTATATTTAATATAATTCCAGATATATCCAAAAATATATAAAGTAACGATATTCTGTCTACCTATGTACTATTTATTTATATTTATAATAAGTTTACTATTGTAATCTTTTGGAGGAAACAATAAAGAGTATCTATCTATCTATTTATCTATGTACCAGTTGTTCTGTTTCGTTTTATATAGTAAATAAAGCTAGTGCAAAAACTGGCTCGTGATACATTAAATACCTTAATCTTCAGGAGTGGCAACACTAAGGGGCGTTGGGCGCAATATAATTAGCGTTGAAATATTCTGACGTTCATAAATGTCTTATTATTATAAGACTTACACATTAAGTCTCTCTTATATATTATTGTTTTTCTTTTCGTAGGATATTTTGTAGGACAATCTACTCACCTTTCACTCCCGAATGTTCAATGTTTTTTTTCTTTTTTAATATTTAAAATTAGAATGCGTATTATTACAGTATAGTAAATATAGTTTATAAGAGATTGGACTTAACGCAATACGCGGTCATACAATGCAAAAGTCTTAATATTAGTATAAGAACAGGGAGCTTTAGGTAAATGCGAAAAAATATTGTAGAAACATTGATGAGTAAAGAAATAGAAATGAATATCATCAAAGATCTGTATGTGTTTGACATGTGTTAAGTTAGCTTTGTTAATAATTATTAAAAAGGTCTGCGGTATGTTATAAGACTCTCTTTCTCTCTCTCTCTCTCTCTCTCTCTCTCTCTTATGTCTTCACTTATTACAACTCATTTCTCATTAATAGTCTAAGATCCCGCTACTGATTTTTGCAGGTATAAATCTTTTTAATGAAACATCTTAAATTGAAGAGGAGCGTAAATATAATACGATACATCTGGGTTGCCTCTTTTCAATTAGCCGCAACCTGGTACTTGTTGTGTGACGGTATTCTAGGCTATACTTAAATTTATTAGTCTTACCCTTACTAATATTATAAATTTGAAAATGAGTTTGCCTGTTTGTTATCTTATAACGCCATACCACTCACCTGCTCACTATGAAATTTGGTATACACGTATTATATGGAAATAACAAGGATAAATTACTTCTTTTATTTCGATTACGCGGACGAAGTCGCAGGTAACAGCCAGTATACTACATATAATATGCACAAGACAATTTATCACTGGCTTTAAAAACTATGTACTCCAGCAACACAGAATTGTACTGTAAATATCTTTAGATTATATTATATAAATAAAATAATACTGTAACATCTTAATGAATCTTGAAATAAAGGACATGTAGTAAACGATTATTGTTTATCCAAACAAAACGCGTATTCAGAGACAATGTCTTATAAAGTGCAGCCGTATAATGCCTCTTCAAGCCTATCTCGGTAATGCCTGAGGATGTAATTACATTTTAATCAAATCCCCTCTCTCGTCTTTTAAACGCCTCTCTTCTTAAATATAAATGTTCGTATCTAGAAGCAACGATAACCACTTCCCGTCAAGTGTGCGGCCATTTTGTTTGCCTTTCATCTATGTGGCCAGTAATTAAAATAATACATATTTTATTAAAACCGGTAGAAGTTTTAAAGTGTTAAACTTTTATTTTTAAATTCATTGTTTGAAAAAAGTTAAAAACAAAAATCTTATTTCTGTTATAATATTTCTATTAAATTTTTATTAATATTTTGGACTTTAAAAGTAAAAGTGAAGGTGAGGTCTATCCCTTGTAGGCAGATTTATAATACGCACATTTAGTTCCAAATTTGACGTATTAATTTGTTACCAAATATTTTAGATAGAAATTATTTTTAGAATTAAATTATTATTAGAAAATGTATTACTAGCTTTATACTCGCGACTTCGTCCACGTAATCGGGATATACTCGTATTCATTGAGCGAGTTAAAAAGTAGATTAAACCCTTCACCATTTAATGCATTGCAGTTAAATTGAATAGCTAAAACTTATGTGAAGCAATCATCTATTGAATCTAAAAAACTATATCTATATAGATAGATAGATATATCGTTTATTTGTTTGTTACTAATCACACACAAAATGTTCATAAGAATAGATAATACATAAAACAGCATAAGATTTATAAAATTGTGTTATTATGTGTGATCTGCAGCAATAAAAAAAGGTCGAAGCTCAGCGTGGAACATTGTTCAAGGAACAAAACACTGATTTTCAGCTTTAACCCATTTGAGGGTACGTGAGTATAGTAATTAAAATAAATATAATATAAAAAGAGCAATATTCTTGGTGATTGTCTGTGCGGTGTGTGTATAATAAAAATAATGTAAATAGTTCAGGGTATAATTTGATATAATTTTAACTGAGTGGTAAGGATAAAGCGAAAAAAAAAAGAAAATATTAATAAGAGAAACATAGAAAAAAAAATATTTAAAATCAAATACCTGAAGAGATTATTATACCATATTATTGTTTATTTGTTAATTAGCATGCCGTGTTCCCTTAAAATAATTGTACACTAAGTATAAATAGACAGTAATTTTATTATTAAATCTTATCAGTGTAATATTTGCTAGGAGACCAAATAAAGATAAAATAAAAATAGTACATGTATACTATATTTCAGTGATTAGTTAAGCCATTAAGATGCTAAGAGATAACAAACAAATACTGTTTATTTGAATAGAATTATTTTGTTTTATTTCAGCTAACATTAGTATACGAATATGTGTCTGCCAATGCTCGAAAATTGACCTCTGCTATTTCTTATTTCATTGTTAAAAGTTACGTAAGCACATATTATATTTTAATGTAATAACTACCATTTTAATTTACGTGTAATAAGATCGAACTAGATCGACTAGTTTCGGGATCAATTCGTTATCCTTAGTCATGAGCGACTGGGTTACAACACACAACCTTCCATATTAGCCATCAGTCTATCTAATCAACAATATGCGCGTGACATTCCTGGTTTTACAGACGTCCACAGGCTACGATAGCTCCGTTTACCTTCAGACAGGCCGTATGTTTCTTTGCCACTATAGTAATATAAAAAATCTCTGACTGCCATTTTGTTCACGCACCTTTTGTAAGACAACACCTATTTTAACAAAATATTAACAAACAAATAAAGTCCCTTTTGCATTTATAATATAATAAGGGTTCGTTCAGAAATATTGAAAATTGACAGAGAGACAATGTTGACATTTCGAGAATTCGATGCACAAGATCTTAAATAATTTGATTTATCCTTACGGATGAATTACTGTACTTTATTTGTTTCTTTCTGATCAAATCGGAAGGTAGCTTACAAACCCGTAGTATGATAGAAGGTTATGTCCCTCTAGGGACAGTGTGTGTTAGCCGCCAACGTGTAGATTTGTATGTAGGATTTTCATATGGTTTATTAGGGTCATGTTTTTTATTTGACTCACGCGGTCGGTTGGCAGGGGTTATAAATACAAAGCGGCTGGTAAATATTATATAGAGTTGGTTTGGTCTTGTTGGATTTAATCATTTCGCCCGTGAAATTATATCATTGTATTCACCTGTGTATTTGGAATGTATTCATATTTATATACGAGTATCAAAGGATCAAACTTATATAATACCTATATATACAAAAATAAGTAGGCTAAATATTTTTTTTTATTCGAGTACAAAAGAGACACTTTGTACAAAAGTCGTCTGCTTGGATACCTCTGTCTTAGTCGTGGTTCTGCTTTGAAGTAGTTGTGTTTGCATGACTGCATTTCGGTTTGAAGGATAGGATATGGCAACAAGGCTACAAGGTATAGAAGCATTATACATCTTAGTTTTCGGGAATGGCAACGCATGAAGGGTATCATGAGCGATGCAGTATACAGTATACTATATTATGTCCATGGTACTGCTCATGTCTATAGGCGACGGTTACCACTTTCCATCAGGTGGGCCGTCAGCTTGTTTGCCATACTAAGTTTCATAAAAAAAATCTAGAAGAATGATATGAATTATAAAATTATCTAAAGTATAGGTAAAGGGCAAGGGATGGGCAGCAGCATCCCTCTTAAAACATCTCTAAAAGCCTAGCTGCGGTTGTCTACCCGCCTGTCAAGTGTGGCATCTACTAGTAAAACTCCCTTTATGGGAAAGGCTTATGTCCAGCAGTAGACAGTTAATGGCTGTAATAATAATAATACATAAGTATAGCTAATTTCTCTTAAAATATGCCTACTTATTTTCTTTAAGGTATTGATAAAACTGTTTTAAATTAGATCAGATAATTTGAAATAGCAATACTCAGATATAAAGATGATAAATGAGAATTTGACGATTTATCTCCAAAAACTTATATTAAATTTAATCGAATTCAATTTCAGGAATTCAAAATGTAACAAGCAACTCATTACATACTTCAACATAAGATAGATAACCTATACTAATAAAAGCGAAAGACTTTGTTTATTTCAATGCACTAACCTCTGAAACTACTAGTCCAATTTGAATTGTCTTTACCTATTTTTTGAGAATTACTATAGGCTATTTAAAATTACGATACCATCCCAAGCAAAGTCAGGAGATCTAGCTAGTGATAAATAAAATAAAACTTAATCATAATATTTTGTTTTCTCATAGTGTTCACGATGACAACACAGTACGTGCGTACGTCGATTGCCGCTGGCTCAGAACGGACGTCTTGGAAAAAGACGCCTTGGTTACACCGAGGGACGCTGATCTCATTATAGGCTATCTCTTCTCGGTAAGTGGACGGTTTATTAAATAGAAACTGAAGCGGTCCGTAAAAAGGAACGCTCCAAATATTTAGTTAGGACTCCCGAATTCTCAATATAAGGAGTTCAAACGTCTATATTTTCATACACTGTCTCAGTTTACTTGTTTAATTCTCTTATGATTTCATTAGATAGCTATTTATAAATATTTTTTGTTACGTCTGCGAAATATGCGTATCCAACATTATTTTCCCAATCTTCTCTTAATATGTTTTCCTTTTCCATCTCTACTAGCTGTCATTTCCACATTCACTGCCATTCTGTTCATTTCATTTTTCATTCAGTCCATTCAGGTTTTTTTAGGTCTTAGGACAGAGAATGTTCTTATAGTTATTTGCATTCATACTTAATACCTTAATAAGAAAATTTGCACATTTTCTATATAATAAACTTCACAGCTACTATCCATATTTGTACCCATCACTGTTCGTATCCGGTATGACAGATATTGAAACGCTTGAGGTAAGGCGAAAGGGCAATTTGGTGGTGCACTATTATCTGTATTTCAACGGCAGAATAGACAATCCTGCAACTCACAGCCGTTGTTCTTTGTACGCATTCTAATTCTACATGCGATTGCGTGCATATCGATTTCTATAAACACCATCGATTCGCACCTGCACTACTTAGTTTTCACCTACTTATCAAGCTGTTTATCTTCTCAATTCTCTGATTGCTCAGCAGCCAAATATTAATATATTTAATATTTGGCTGCTGTAAGTAAGTAATCAGATTATATTAGATATAATATAATATACAAATTAGATAGACTTTCTAAATGTTGTCTAGAATTTTTAAGTTTGTAAAATAAAACTTTGGCTCACTAAATGTTTTGTGAGTGTAGTGTATTGAGCAATTTATAAGCAAATAGATAAATACCGTTATATCGTCATCAAATTAACCAATAATAATAAGCTTTTCATCTCTGTGCTTTACATATCCATAAAATATGTAGACTGAATTATTAATTTTCTAAATATTTCGTCATTAAACTGTTACGTTTAGAATTTTGCAACAGGGAAATTTCGGTGTTCAAATATTCATAGTATGAGAGACGATGGAGTATACATCGTTTTACTCCACTGAAAAGGGTACATAAATATTAGAATTTAATATGAAAATGTCTATTAAATCCATAATAATTCATTTGTAAACATCTTCAATCACTTGAATCGGATGTAGTTTTAGGCAAGGCGAAATAGTGTTATTAAAAATTTATAATCTTATTATGCTCGGGAACTGAATATTTTTCCCAAAGGAAAACGGATAGAAAATCGATAAAAAAATTACTTAATACTTACACGGTGTTACCAGCCTTGTGGTTCTGGCATAAAATGGGCCACACCTTTCTTTCCCGTGGGTGTCGTAAGAGGCGACTAAGAAAACTTAATTTTCGACGGATAGGCAGCAGCATATCTCTTTTAACATCATAAAAGCCTGTGATTGCTACTGCTGGCAAAACCTTCCAAGAAAAAAACCTTGTATATTTTAGGGTATATGTTCAACAATGGATAGTTAACAGTTGATATGATGACGATGATAGTCATCATCGTCATCATCAACTGTTAACACGAAATCAAAAACTTTTGACGTCTTTCAAATCGTGTTTATTTTTTCTTTGTATATTAATGGATAATTTTGTTTACACTGTGTATAAATAGGTATTTATTTAAATTAGGTTTTGTTTTTAATCTTATGATGCCTGATGATACATCAAGTTTAATGAGTAATAGATCCTTGTCTGTGAACAGCGGGTTATATTGTAATAGTCATTACACTAACTAACCAGAGGGAGACTTTGTACAAAAGTCGATTGCTTGGGTACCTCTGTGTGTGTAAAGTAGTGTTTGGATGGCTGTGTTTCGGTTTGAAGGGTGGGATATAGCGTTAATTTACAGGGTATAGAGGAATAACATCTGAGTCCTCAGGAATGGCAACGCGTGGGGGGTATCATGGACGAAACAGTATACTCTGTTATGTCCATGGTACTGCTCATATCTATAAGCGACGGTTACCACTTTCCATCAGGTGTGCCGTCAGCTTGTTTGCCATTATAAGTAGTATAAAAAAAACTAAGCTTGAGATTAATTGAATAATCTGTTCCAAAATAATACGTCTCAACATTGTATGTTTTATGTTCTCGTTGTACTTACGACTTCGCGGAAACTTTAAGTTCGTTCATTTCCATTTCATATCTAATACAATATTTGTCTTTTATATTTGTTTAATTATTAAATCTTTTCCTGTTTATTTTTGTTTGATATTTTAATTTATATTTGTATACTTTTTGTAAAAAAAAAAAACAATATATCATGTATGTATATAACAATATACATACATGATACTGTCATCATTTCGTCCTTTCGTCATTCGTCCTCCGCTAAACATGTTTATCATTCGAACTTTGTTAATTACTTTCATTATTTTGCGGATATCCTCATTGCAGATTCTATTACGCAAAGAAACTCCGAGCAAGCTATGGAGAGGATAGCCCTCTCCATAGCTCGTTGAGTAACTTGAAGCTTTTGCATACAAGCAACTGTACACGATAGTGTGTTATTGTAAAATTCCAGATTCTCACAATTTATATAACATTATTATATTTTTTACGCATCTGAATAATTCAATATTCCAATAAAAAATGAAGATTTACCTGAATGTAAAATTTATGGAGTATTATATTATAATATTCCATAAATAGACGTAAAGGAAAGGTAAAGGTCGACTGCGAGAAAATGCTTTTAACATTAAGATTTTCTTATATATCTATATTTACGTACTAATGAATAAATGAGGGTAGTTTATTATATTTATTGGTTTATTTATAACGTGCAATTATACATTTATTTATAATGATTATTGCATTATATTTAGATGAATCTATGGCTACAACAAGAATTAACTCTCATTCAATAACGCATACCCAGTTCGACTTGGATCATGTAAAATGTCTGGTGAGAATTTAGAAAATTTTCTACATTACTCCAGTCTGAATTATTTCTTAAGAGTAATCCAGCCGTACCTTCGAACTAGAATTAGAACACGTCTAAAATGTCAGAACAAACAAATTGTTCAATTTCAATTAAATTTGCGTAGTCTTTGTATATATTGCATTCAAAACTCTTGACCAGTCAAAAGTACTTTTGATCGTATGCTTAAGTCAATAATACTTTTGAATAAAATAACAGTTAAAAGTACTTAACCTAATATCTAAGTTAATCGCAAATTTGCAGTCAAAAGTACTTCCACTAGTCAATAGTACTTTTGACTGGTTAAGAGTTTTAACTGCAATATATACAAAGACTACGCAAATTTTATTGAATTTAAACAATTTGTTTGTTCTGACATTTTAGACGTGTTCTAATTCTAGTTCGAAGGTACGGCTGGATTACGCTTAAGAAATAATTTAGACTGGAGTAATGTAGAAAATTTTCTAAATTCTCGCCACACATTTTACATTCGACACTGCACTTCGAACTCCGGTTTCTCGTTCTGTTTCTGCATAAGCCGCATACAGTCAATAACTTAATCATAGAATTTATTCCAGTTCTCTTGGCAATATACCAAAACTGTAATAGAATTCTCTTTCTACAATTTGATTTTAAAGTTCTTCTACATTTTCTCAATGGCATTCAGTCACTATTTTGACGATCATTTCTGCTAACGTAATTATTAGCGTAATTATTAATTTTCTACAAGTAATATTCAAAGTACATCACAATCATGACATACAGATACGCATGGACTCATCTCGTATTTATATACAGTCAAACTTACAGCTTTTCAGTTTAAGCTAAATGTTCACCGTTCCCGCCATTTTTTCCCATTTCGATTTTCAAGTTTAATATTTTGTATTAGTGCTAGTTAATTGTTTAGAACTTGGAATTCATATTTATGCACACACACACTCATACAGCTTTTGTTTTGAACCGACTTCGAAAAGAAGTAGGATCTCAATTCGGTTGTATTTTTTATATTTGTTAAATTCTGTTTTTATCTGAAAGGATATACTTGCAGATTGGCTTCATAGTAAACTTATCAAAATCGGTTTAATGGCCAAGTTTTTAAATCAAAATTACTGGTTTTGCACAATTGAAGTCTTATAGTATCTTATATTATAATAACTTTTATAGTAACCATTTTTGATAAAAAAAAATACTTTACGCTTACTTTACTTTTTAATTTAAATTCGTACCTATTTTACTGACTTGTCCAAGGACGTCTTTTACAGTAAATTCACGTACATTTTTGATGACAGGGCGATCTGGAACAGTTGGTGCTGGTGCCAAAAGCTGGACAAGCGCAAAAGCAGTGCTCGAGCCAAGTGAATGGAATATCAACCCCTTACGTTACACTGCACGACTCGTAACTGAGAACTAAATTGAACTACACTGAAGAAATACGGTAATGTCCAATAACGTGCTTGGATACAACATGTTTAGATGAGGAATTTGTGATTTGGACTTGATTAATCTAAAAACAGTCAGCTACTATGCAAAATTTGAATTACATGAACTACAATGTAAATGAAATGATAATAATTACAAAAGATCTCTGAATATAAGAAATGAAATTATATATATAAACTAGGACCATCGTACGGTACTTTGTGTGTCTATGACAGTTTATATCACAATAATGTATTATGTTGAATTAGTAACATCTGTAGATAGTAAATTTGAGAATATACTTGGTAAAAACATATTTACTTTTGAAGTAAACATTGAATCTGTTTTATGGGTAATAAGAGGATTTTAAATATGTACAGATTATTTCTTGGGTGTGAATAAAAACAAACATAGCAGACAAGTAAAAATGTATTATGAATAACAGTGAATACGATATAAATTTGCTATATGAAATGTAGGTTTTGGTTCTACAAATGAGTGCTACTAAACTACAGCATATAATTGATTCAACCATAAAATATATCGCATAATTATTTAGTAACTATAAATTTTCCAATTAACTACATTTTCCTTTATCAGTAGCCTACTTTTATCTGAATATTATGAATTTTATTCATAATCTCAGATATTAAAAAATTGGAGATAACGTACATAATATTATTTCTTAAGCTAAAATTCGATAAAGGAGAAACTTAATTTACGAGAATGTTTCATTAAATGAAATGAGAATGTTTGCCTAAATACAGACACTTATTAAAAATTTGCTGCTTAAGATTAGTTGATTTAATTGTAACTTTTATCTTAATAAAAGAGAAAACTACGATTTGAGAGTAAATGAAGAAATTTTAATACAATTTCTCATGCATTACTGATCAAACTGAGATGAAAAGTAATAAACAAGCAAAATTTGTAACTTCTAGTTGCTGACGATAAGACAAAATCTCCGTAGAAACTGATACCGTAACAGTGTTTTAAAACAACATTACTGATAACAACTTCACACGTTTTATGAGCGAGATATTTACTGTGAATTTCGAGACTTCAAAAAGATATAAGTACGTAAATATCCCCTTTACAAAATAGATAAAATCAATACGTGTTCGCTAAATGAAAGGCGGCTACGTTTTACGGTTGAGTCAATTACGTGTTTTAGTTCAAATGTGACTCGTTCCACTTAAAAAGATTGCTTCATAAATCTAAGTTAACACTACTTACGACATCTGATAAATGTAATACAATAAATTTAAGTACTTATGTATAACAGAATAGAATGGGAAATAGTTTTTCTTACAATTTAGCCGGTCTAATGTAAATATTAGTCTCTTAAATGTAAGTTTCAGTAAAATTATATACCTAATGTATTTAAATATTCAGTCGACTTTGTTTCAGTGATATGTTTCAGGTATTTTGTGTTTATATTACATGCGACCTTTTTTGTTGCATTTTAAGGAAAACTAGTTTATTAATTAAAATGTAAAATGCCTAATAAACAATTTTAACTATTAGTATGTTTCAACAGTAACATTAGCTTAAAATAAAATACCAAAACATCACAATAGTTAAAGGAGATTTATCAGGCAGAAAATGTTTGTAAGTATAAATTATCGGTTTTATTTATCTTCTATCATTTGTGTAAGATGTTTCAAAAGAAACTGTTACTTATGATTCCCTTGAATATATGATTAAAGAAGGTTACTAATATTTATGGTTTTATTTATCCCAGTCTATTTATTACATTAAATGTTTCTTTTTTTATAATTTAAGGTCAGTAAATTATAATAATAATATAATTTATTTGTTGAAAAACACGTAAATGTAAAATATGTAAAATGGATTCTCACTGAACATGAAGCAAGACGCCTTTATTTTTTTTTTGTTGTTTAGAATTATTGGAAGTGTTTTGAGTGCATATCTTTTTTATATATCATAGGGAGCAAATGAGCATGTGTCTAACCTAAAGGTAAGTGCCTATCGCCGCCCCTGAGCAATTACAAGATCGGAGGAATTACAAGTGCGTTATTAGTAAAAAGGACTATGTCTTATTCTTAAATATTATAAAGTCGAAAATATCACCTTTTCACTGTTACAGATCTAGTTAAAATTTGCTCACTTTTTTATCACATGACTATTGCGCGAGTATTAAAATTTTTCATATGATATATAGACTGTAGAACGAACTTCTCTCTGAAGGTTTTCCTTTACACAACAAATATGAAGCTCTACAAAAAATGTTCCTGTACCTTTTTGCAACACATTTACAAGTGTTCTTGGCCAAAATTTATTTATTTATTCACAGGAACACCAATAGCATATTGCATTATAGTTTTTATATAACTAAATAAAACACAATGTTAATACACATGCTTAAAAGTAAGACATTTCCCATTAAATCGACTACTAAGTTATTTTCCTAACAAAAATTTTCATTGAAAATTAATGAAGTTAAGTAAAAAAATATATTTAAGTACACAAATTCTTCCTGCCTGTCTCGTAGGAATTGACGTTAATGCACATAGGTCATACGACCATAGATCAGTATCATTCAAGTTAAGCAAAAAGCGATAATCAGAATGTTTAGGTATATTAACATATGCCTGATTGATTAAGTCTGTTGTTTCATGAGAATTAACCAATTTGTATTGCGCAGTATTGACCTCCCGCAGGAACGTAATGTTCATGAATTATTGACGCCAGAGTTAGTACTAACTTGTCCAAATTCAATTACACATCAATATGGATGCAGACAACCAATCTATATTTAATGGACCGACTTAAGGTTTGCGTGAGACGTTATGTGTTTCTGTGCAAGATTAGTTTGTAGATAATCTTACTAATGTAAATTACATTTGTGTCTAAATACAAACAATGTACAAACAATGTACAAGCAATGTACAAACAATGTACAAACAATGTACAACTATGTACAAACGAGATATTTAAGAAAAAATACATATATAAAACCTGTCATGATCAAGACGTGGTGCAATCCATCTCTTCCTTATCCGTGTGTGCTGTAAGAGGTGACTAAAGGAACTTCATGGCGGAGGGATGAGCAGCAGCGTCCTTCTTAAAGCAACATCAAAAATCAACTATAACTACTAAGAAGACCATCCAATAGAGGAAGGCCTATATTCAGCAGTGGACAGCTGATACGATGATGATGATGATGATTATATAAAACTTTACTTAATATATTTGAAAAGCATTTCTTAGGACATGTAACTTACTTACTTATGTTACTGCACAATTACGATACTATACAGCAATTTTATTTAAGTCCGTTCGAGCGTGATATATTAACAAACATTCAGGCATCTTTACTAGATAGATAGATACTCTTATTGTTTCCTCCATAAGATTACAATAGTAAACTTATTATAAATACAAATAATTACAAAAAAATATTACACTAAGAAAACAACTGGTGGCTGTATTGTTAAGAGCGATCTCTTCCAGGCAACCTTTTGATGGAGAAGAGTAATTATAAACAGTTGAACTACATATAGTTTGAAATACATATAGAGATACGTACAGCAATGTGAATATATAAATGTATATTTTAAGTTACTAAGGCATACTTAAATAATTTTTTATGCAACTTAGAATGGCAAACAAGCAGATAGCCACCTGATGGAAAATGGTATCCGTCAACTATAGACATGAGCAATATCATGGACGTAACGGTGTATACTGTTTCGCCCATCATACCTCGCATACATTGCCGTTCCTGAGGATTGGGGTATTATTCCTCTGTACCCTGTAAATTCACTATCATATCCCACACTTTAAACCAAAACACAGCCATGCAAACACAACTACTTCATGGTAGAAACACGAATGGGACAGAGGTGTCCAAGCAAACAACTTTTGTACAAAGTCTCCCTCTGGTAATCCATATTTATACATATAAATACATAAAAACAATACAAATACATAAATATATATACATACATATACAATTATTGAAATAAAAATAAAAATAAGCTAGTCAGACACAAATTAGGAATATGACAACTTGCTGAGACAGAAGTTCTTAATTTCTTTACAAAACTTTTACATTTATAATATTGAGCAAAATACTTAGTTGATTCGAGTAGTAAAGTCTTCCAAACAAAAACAAATCTTCAGTATAACGGCATCTCACTCAACCAAATTGCTGCTACTGATTTTCAACCGACTTCAAGAAGAAGCGGGTTCTTAGTTCGATTGTATTTTTTTGTTTGTTTGTTGCCTTATAACTCCGTTACATGTAAAGTGATTTGGTAAATTCATTTTTATCAGAAAGGATATACTTAGAGATTGTTTTCATAGAAATTTTATCAAATCAGTTCAGTAGTTTAGTTTTTAAATCAATATAACTAGTTTTACCACAATTGAAGGCGGTTTTTCTTTGTGTAACTGAATAATAATTAGTTAAATAAACAATTTGACTTCTAAACAGTAAATTTAGTATATTTACATATTTTGTGTACAGGTAAGTCTTGATAAACTATGTAGTTTTGTAGTTGCAATTCCTAAGTCTTGATTGATTGGTTCCTGAGGTTTGAAGGGTGTGATATAGCAGTGAATTTACAGTGTATAGAGAAATAAAACCTGAGCCCTCAGGAATGGCAACGCATGGGGGGTATTATGGGCGAAACAGTATACTCTGTTATGTCCATGGTTCTGCTCATGTCTATAGGCGACAGTTACCACTTTCCATCAGGTGGGCCGTCAGCTTCTTTGCCATTCTAAGTTGTATAAAAAAGACGTAGATAAAGAAGTGTCAAAAATATATATAATTAATTGAATATAAAAATATACCCTCCTTAAAGTGAAGGTCTATGTTCAGCAGTGGACGTGATCACATATATATATATATATATATATATATATATATATATATATTGGCCAACTGAACTTTATGTATATAAAGTTCAGTTGGCCAATTTTCCAACAACAACGCGAATCCGAGCATATGATGAGGACATATTATTTGTTTTAAATAAATATGTAGTCGTATATATGTATTCTAAATTCTATGATAATTGCTTAAGATGCTAAAACGCTGAGAGATAACAAACAAACACGCTTTTACATTCATAACATCAGTACGGATGTTTAACAGTCAAAGACAATCAGCGTAACTTGAAACATAACGGATCCATATTCAACATTTTATAAGCCTTATTACCATAATATTGTAACTTATAAATATTGAATACAAGATCAAACAAATATAATCTTCTTGGAAATTTATATCTGATGTAATATTCACTTTGTGATATCGTTATCAGAACACGGTATAGACGCGTCTATCTTCATTACCGTATTGTTTGTTGTAAAGTTTAAGTCTAAATTCTTCATGAGACTCATCCATCTTTGTTTCGTTGTGTAAAGACTTACGATTTTAGCTTAATACGAGAAAACTTCCTTAAACCGACGCAACTTGAGATAATTCACCACAATTATTATTTACACAATTGTAAAACAAGAAAATGTGCTAACGAAATGAAACAGTTGTGGATGTTTATAACAGCAGATGCATTAAATTACAGCCTTATTATATCCTTCTTCCGACTAATATTATAAAAGAGCTGACTCGACAAATTTTTCCTTGTTCAAATCATTTATTTTTTTTTTCGTTTTCTTTCCTTAAAACCTTAATTGCAAAAAGAGAATATTAACAATATTTCGAAGACAGCGGTGTAATAATAAAAAATTGAATTGGAAAATGTTTGCGATTATTTTTATGTAAACGGTTATTTTTTTTTTTTTTTTTTTTTTTTACAACACAGGGGGCAAACGAGCATGCGGCTCACCTGATGGTAAGTGACTACTGCCGCCCATGGTCACCCACAACACCTACGGCATTGCAGGTGTGCTGCCGGCCTTTTAAAAAGGAATATGCTCTTTTCTTGAAGGTTATGTTGTCGTATCGGTTCGGAAATACTGCTGCTGGAAGTTGATTCCAAAGAGTGGTTGTGCGTGGAAGAAAGTGCCTTGAAAAACGCACGGTGGAGGACCGCCACTCGTCCAGATGGTTGGGATGAAATTTTAGTTTATGGCGGGTTGTACGATGGTGAAAATCTGCAGCAGGTATCAATCCGAACAATTCTTCAGAGCACTCCCCATGATAAATTCGGTAGAAGATGCACAGAGATGCAACATCTCTACGCAGTTTCAGTGGGTCGAGCCGGACAGTAAGACGCCGATCGTCAACAATTCGAGCTGCCCGACTTTGAATGCGGTCTAACGGAAGGAGTTGGTACTGTGGCGCTCCTGCCCACAGGTGAGAACAGTATTCCATGTGTGGCCTCACTTGAGCTTTATACAGTTTCAGGCGGTTTTCTGGCGTGAAATACCGTCTCACCCTATTGAGCACCCCCAACTTTTTGGAAGCTATCTTAGCTTTTTCCTCCAGATGACCGCAAAACTGGACGTCGCTAGATATATCGACGCCAAGAATCCCCAGACTCGACTTATTATCAAGGGAAGTGCCCTGAAAGTGAGGTGATACGACAAACGGTGTCTTTTTTGCGGTGAACGCGCAGACTTGTGTCTTCTTAGGGTTAAAGTGAACAAGATTGCGTTCACCCCAGATCGAAACTTTATCGAGTGAAGTTTCGATTTCAGACACAAGTCTGTTCCGGAGCTCATCGGTATGTGCCCGCGAGATCTTTGCATGACCGGTGTATAATGCATCTCCTGTACTGTCGTCC